AAAGTTGTCATCTGCTCCAGAGTCCACTAGGGCAGTAAGAGAAAATGAGTTTTTAGCACAGGACAGCGTACATTTAAGCTTCTGGTAGAGGGATCTGTAAAGGAGTGGCTCACCAGCAACCCTCCGCTGACTGATGAGCCTATTCTTTTGGCAGAGCAGGACAATTGGCCACATTATGTCCTCCCTGACCGCAGTAGATACAAAGTCGGAAACAAAGACGTCGCTGGCGTTCCTTGAGGGTTAACCGCATCCTCCCCAGCTGCATGGGTTCCTCAGAGCTGGAATTGTGTTGTCCCGTAGATGTGGCACTGGCTGATTGCCCCAGGTGTGCAGGTGCAGTCTGACGAGGTGGTTGGGAAAAGGTGGCAGGGAATATGGCAGGGAATATGGCAGGGAATGGACCTTTCCTAGCTGTTCTTTCCCTGCGTCTTTCTGCTAGACGATTGTCTAAACGTATGGCTAGGGTAATTAATTCCTCGAGGGAAGAAGTCTCATCACGTGCAGCTAGCTGGTCTTTAAGTTCTTCACTTAAACCCCGGAAAAACACACCCTGCAAAGCTTTCTCATCCCACCGAGTCTCTGCAGCTAAAATACGAAAATCAATTGAATAGCTAGAGACTGAACCTGTGCCTTGGCGAAGTGAAAGAAGCCGGTTCCTGGCTTCTTTCCCTTTGAGGGGGTTGATCAACAACTTTACGCATCTCAGTAAATGCATCCAGAGAGTTACACACAATTAAATTACTATTGACTAGAGCAACAGCCCAGGCAGAAGCCTTTTCAGAGAGCAGACTCATAATAAAAGCAACTTTAGCTTTATCTTTATCGGTTGAGTATGTTAAGGGTTGTTGAATACCTAGCAGGAGTAGGAATGATGGGCTCACGGGGCTGGGCTGTAGGGGCTTGTACTGGGCCTGGAACTGGAGCCGGATCCGACGCAGGTGGAGTTGTAGAATCCAAGTGAGAGGAGATCTGGTCCAAGCGTGTGGTAATTGGGTCAAACGAGCACCAAACTGGGAAAAACTTGAGTCAACTTTCTTGAATGCAGCCATGAATTCCTTCAGAGACTCTTCATGTTGCTTTAGATTAGCAGCCTGAGCAGCCATCGTTTGCTTAAGCCTTACAAGCTCTGCGGGGTCCATGTTGGCCAAATAATTCTGTTATGTTTTAGCAAATGAGGACCCCAAAGCAGAGTTGAGAATGATCATAGAAACACGAGCACAAGGACACTACCGTATGAGACGGAATTATCTGGCACTGAAGCCAGGAGTAAATTGGCTGCAGGTGTGTCTGCTGCACTACCCAGCCACACCCATCACCACCAGCTCTGCAGAGAAACAAAAAAAAAGGGAGGGGGGGAGGAACAGAGCAACACAATCCTCACACAAAGACTGAACGTCTCAGACTCAGACCATCTGCAGCACCATGTGAGCCACACCATCTGCAGCACCATGTGAGCCGCACCATCTGCAGCATCATGTTTCAGTCATCCCCTGATACATACAGTCATCCCCTGATACATACAGTCTGTGTCCCTGATACATACAGTCTGTGTCCTGATACATACAGTCTGTGTCCTGATACATACAGTCATGTGTCTGATACATACAGTCTGTGTCCTGATACATACAGTCTGTGTCCGATACATACAGTCTGTGTCCTGATACATACAGTCTGTGTCTGATACATACAGTCTGTGTCCGATACATACAGTCTGTGTCCGATACATACAGTCTGTGCCTGATACATACAGTCTGTGTCTGATACATACAGTCTGTGTCTGATACATACAGTCTGTGTCTGATACATACAGTCTGTGTCTGATACATACAGTCTGTGTCTGATACATACAGTCTGTGTCTGATACATACAGTCTGTGTCCGATACATACAGTCTGTGTCTGATACATACAGTCTGTGTCTGATACATACAGTCTGTGTCCGATACATACAGTCTGTGTCTGATACATACAGTCTGTGTCGATACATACAGTCTGTGTCTGATACATACAGTCTGTGTCCTCTGATACATACAGTCTGTGTCCTGATACATACAGTCTGTGTCTGATACATACAGTCTGTGTCTGATACATACAGTCTGTGTCTGATACATACAGTCTGTGTCTGATACATACAGTCTGTGTCTATACATACAGTCTGTGTGATACATACAGTCTGTGCCGATACATACAGTCATCCGTCTGTGTCCTGATACATACAGTCTGTGTCTGATACATACAGTCTGTGTTGTGATACATACAGTCTGTGTCTGATACATACAGTCTGTGTCTGATACATACAGTCTGTGTCTGATACATACAGTCTGTGTCTGATACATACAGTCTGTGATCGATACATACAGTCTGTGTCCGATACATACAGTCTGTGTCTGATACATACATACAGTCTGTGTCTGATACATACAGTCTGTGCCTGATACATACAGTCTGTGTCTGATACATACAGTCTGTGTCGATACATACAGTCTGTGTCTGATACATACAGTCTGTGTCCTGATACATACAGTCTGTGTCTGATACATACAGTCTGTGTCCTGATACATACAGTTGTGTCTGATACATACAGTCTGTGTCTGATACATACAGTCTGTGTCTGATACATACAGTCTGTGTCGATACATACAGTCTGTGTCTGATACATACAGTCTGTGTCTGATACATACAGTCTGTGTCTGATACATACAGTCTGTGTCCGATACATACAGTCTGTGTCTGATACATACAGTCTGTGCCTGATACATACAGTCTGTGTCCGATACATACAGTCTGTGTCTGATACATACAGTCTGTGTCCGATACATACAGTCTGTGTCCGATACATACAGTCTGTGTCCGATACATACAGTCTGTGTCTGATACAGTCTGTGCCCGATACATACAGTCTGTGTCTGATACATACAGTCTGTGTCTGATACATACAGTCTGTGTCTGATACATACAGTCTGTGCCCGATACATACAGTCTGTGTCCGATACATACAGTCTGTGTCTGATACATACAGTCTGTGTCCGATACATACAGTCTGTGTCTGATACATACAGTCTGTGTCTGATACATACAGTCTGTGTCTGATACATACAGTCTGTGTCTGATACATACAGTCTGTGTCTGATACATACAGTCTGTGTCTGATACATACAGTCTGTGTCTGATACATACAGTCTGTGCCTGATACATACAGTCTGTGCCCGATACGCTCAGCAAGACCCCAGTCATAGACAGATGGATAACTTTATTTGCAGACTCAAGGTCCAGATCGACACAGACAGAGACAAAAACAACACAAAATAAAATAAACAACGACAATAGAAACCTCTAAAATTTCAAGAGGGTCATGTTAATGTTTCCAAAGCACCTCGCTGCAGACAGCACTGGGTAATGAAATAATCACAGCATGATTTGAATTGTATATAATATATACACATGTTTAATCTTACATATACATATAAATTACCCTAAACATATATATAATCAAACATGTTTATACATTATATATATATAATATATAAACATGTTTGATCTTATATATACATATAAATAAGATTTAACATATATATAATATATAAACATGTTCATCACTGGAACAGTTTTTTTATTATTTTTTTATTGGCATACACAATATATTACAACACGGACATTATAAACACATTTGTACATTTTGAGATAATTGTACATATGAACATATATAAGCATATGGGCATTTATATAGGGTTAGGAGGGGGGCAAGGGGGGATTCAGCGGGCGTGCGTGTGTGTGCATGATCACTGTTGGTGTATTGAATAGGTATCTGAGGGTGTTGAAGGGTTTCTTTTATTGACCGGTAGTGAGAGAGGGGAGAAAGGAAAGAAAGAGAATAGTAATAAAAATAATAATAATAATAATAGTGCAAACGTAGGAGGATGCTATAATTTTAGGGAGGGGGTGGTCGTAATGTTAATAATAATGCATCAGTTTTATATAGCGCTTTTCTGGACACTCAAAGACGCTTCACATGTGTCATTATGAATTCACTCCAAACACGGTGGTGATGAACTACTACTGTAGCCACAGCTGCCCTGGGGCACACTGACAGAAGCGAGGCAACCAGTCTGTGCCATCAGCCCCTCCCACCACCACCAACCATTCACACACACAAGACTCATTCTAGGCAATGGGGGTAAAGTGTCTTGCCTAAGGACACAATGACAGCAGATATCAGTGGAAGTCAATGGTGAAGGTCGGGCTCGAACCCACAACCCTCTGGTTCAAAGGCCAATGCTCTACCAACTGAGCTACTGTCGCCCATGTTGTTGAAGAGGATAGCAGAGCCATATCTAGGCATATACTAATGTTTTGGTAAGTGTAGGTAATCTTTATCCAGGCCAGAGTCACACACAGAGATGGGAGCGAGGTGGTACTCTTCCAGCAGCATCCTTGCATAAGGTGTCCTGTGATTGTGTGGTGCATTAAAAGCGCATGCTTAAGATGCTTGTGGAAGAGAGCTTATTTTTTATTTTTTTTATTTTTTTATTTTATTTATTTATTTATAAAGGAACCGTTTTATAAACGATGACAAATGTAATAAATGGATTTGTGCCTCTGGGATTTAAAGCTAAAAAGCAGCACTTTAGCCCCGTTTCCACCGGAGACTTCATGATTCATCTGTGTTCAGCATCAATAATTATCTTTAAATGTTTAAGACTCATTAGGTCTGGTCCCCCTGGTCCCCCTGATCCCCCTGGTCCTCCTGGTCCTCAGCCTCTTTCAGTGAGTCTCTGGAGAACCTTTATCCACTATATATGGACTGGTCTGAAGTCTAAGAAGAACAGAAACCTGGACCCAGACCTGAGCGCGGACCGAGACCTGAGCCTGGACTGAGACCTGAGCCTGGACCGAGACCTGAGCCTGGACTGAGACCTGAGCCTGGACCTGAGCCTGGACCCAGACCTGAGACACAGACAGAGACCCGGGACTCACTCTTCCTCCTTCCTTCCTCCTCCTCATGATGGACACGGCTGCAGTGGTCACAGTCCTGGTTCTGACCGTGGCCGGACTCTCTCACACTCTCCACATCGTGCCCAGCGCCTCACAGGAGACCAGCAACCGCCTCCTGGTGAGTCCTCACATGGTCCATATCTTCTCCTGGTGAGTCCTCACATGGTCCATATCTTCTCCTGGTGAGTCCTCACATGGTCCATATCTCCTCCTGGTGAGTCCTCACATGGTCCATATCTCCTCCTGGTGAGTCCTCACATGGTCCATATCTTCTCCTGGTGAGTCCTCACATGGTCCATATCTTCTCCTGGTGAGTCCTCACATGGTCCATATCTTCTCCTGGTGAGTCCTCACATGGTCCATATCTCCTCCTGGTGAGTCCTCACATGGTCCATATCTCCTCCTGGTGAGTCCTTACATGGTCCATATCTCCTCCTGGTGAGTACTCACATGGTCCATATCTTCTCCTGGTGAGTCCTCACATGGTCCATATCTTCTCCTGGTGAGTCCTCACATGGTCCATATCTCCTCCTGGTGAGTTCTCACATGGTCCATATCTCCTCCTGGTGAGTCCTGACATGGTCCATATCTCCTCCTGGTGAGTACTCACATGGTCCATATCTTCTCCTGGTGAGTCCTCCCATGGTCCATATCTTCTCCTGGTGAGTCCTGACATGGTCCATATCTCCTCCTGGTGAGTCCTCACATGGTCCATATCTTCTCCTGGTGAGTCCTCACATGGTCCATATCTCCTCCTGGTGAGTCCTCACATGGTCCATATCTTCTCCTGGTGAGTCCTCACATGGTCCATATCTTCTCCTGGTGAGTCCTCACATGGTCCATATCTCCTCCTGGTGAGTACTCACATGGTCCATATCTCCTCCTGGTGAGTCCTCACATGGTCCATATCTCCTCCTGGTGAGTCCTCACATGGTCCATATCTTCTCCTGGTGAGTACTCACATGGTCCATATCTTCTCCTGGTGAGTCCTCACATGGTCCATATCTCCTCCTGGTGAGTCCTCACATGGTCCATATCTCCTCCTGGTGAGTTCTCACATGGTCCATATCTCCTCCTGGTGAGTCCTGACATGGTCCATATCTCCTCCTGGTGAGTACTCACATGGTCCATATCTTCTCCTGGTGAGTCCTCCCATGGTCCATATCTTCTCCTGGTGAGTCCTGACATGGTCCATATCTTCTCCTGGTGAGTCCTCACATGGTCCATATCTTCTCCTGGTGAGTCCTCACATGGTCCATATCTCCTCCTGGTGAGTCCTCACATGGTCCATATCTTCTCCTGGTGAGTCCTCACATGGTCCATATCTTCTCCTGGTGAGTCCTCACATGGTCCATATCTTCTCCTGGTGAGTCATCACATGGTCCATATCTTCTCCTGGTGAGTCCTCACATGGTCCATATCTTCTCCTGGTGAGTCCTCACATGGTCCATATCTTCTCCTGGTGAGTCCTCACATGGTCCATATCTTCTCCTGGTGAGTCCTCACATGGTCCATATCTTCTCCTGGTGAGTCCTCACATGGTGACATCACTTTTTCCTTCCGTAGCTTTTTCAAAATGGCCGTGGGCAGCCCCTCCCTCAGGAAAATATAAAAAAACACATTTGTGCGTCAGCTGCACCAGCATGCTTTTAATGAGTGCATTCTGAAGTCCACAGCGGCGAAACTAGACTGGTCCAAAAACATATACTCCCCTCAGACAGCATTTGGAACCAAGAGGACCAAGAACCACTTTTGGACCAAGAACCACTTTTGGACCAAGAGCCACTTTTGGACAAAGAACCACTTTTGGACCAAGAACCACTTTTGGACCAAGATTCACTTTTGGACCATCCTGTAAAGACGTTCTCCAGAGGAAAGAAGATGTCATACACGGGTACACCCCCACAGGCCTGGGGTGGTACTGCAGTCTGACAGCGCACATGCTCAAGGACCTGTTGGAGCTGGGACCCGCCCACACTGGTTATTACTGTCCCCTTATACAGACTATAAAAGGTGAAGCGAGGCAGCGCCACCCAGTGGCTGGACGCTGCAAAATAATGTGACCCCCAGACTGTCATGTGACCCCCAGATTGTCATGTGACCCCCGGACCGTGGTCCAGGGGCTGTGTTCATGCTGTAGGGGGGTTCATGTGTCCATGTGTGTCTTCATGTGTGTCCATGTGTGTGTTCATGTGTGTGTTCCTGTGTGTGTTCATTTGTCCATGTGTGTGTTCATGTGTTCATGTGTGTGTTCATGTGTCCATGTGTGTGTTCATGTGTGTGTTCATGTGTTCATTTTTGTGTCCATGTGTGTGTTCATGTGTCCATGTGTGTGTTCATTTTTGTGTCCATGTGTGTGTTCATGTGTGTCCATGTGTGTGTTCCTGTGTGTGTTCATTTGTCCATGTGTGTGTTCATGTGTTAATTTGTGTGTTCATGATAGAAAGACAGATAAATACTTTATTGATCCCGTAGGAGAAATTCAGTTGTCCAGTAGCAGCAAAAAATAAAATTGATCATTCTACAAAGGTAATAATAGTATTACCCTAACCCAGCCACAGGTCTTCAGGTCACAGCAGCAGAGGTGGAGTAGCCTCTGGGTGGAGCAGGACAGGTCACAGCAGCAGAGGTGGAGTAGCCTCTGGGTGGAGCAGGACAGGTCACAGCAGCAGAGGTGGAGTAGCCTCTGGGTGGAGCAGGACGGGTCACAGCAGCAGAGGTGGAGTAGCCTCTGGGTGGAGCAGGACAGGTCACAGCAGCAGAGGTGGAGTGCCTCTGGGTGGAGCAGGACAGGTCACAGCAGCAGAGGTGGAGTAGCCTCTGGGTGGAGCAGGACGGGTCACAGCAGCAGAGGTGGAGTAGCCTCTGGGTGGAGCAGGACAGGTCACAGCAGCAGAGGTGGAGTAGCCTCTGGGTGGAGCAGGACAGGTCACAGCAGCAGAGGTGGAGTAGCCTCTGGGTGGAGCAGGACAGGTCACAGAAGCAGAGGTGGAGTAGCCTCTGGGTGGAGCAGGACAGGTCACAGCAGCAGAGGTGGAGTAGCCTCTGGGTGGAGCAGGACGGGTCACAGCAGCAGAGGTGGAGTAGCCTCTGGGTGGAGCAGGACTGGTCACAGCAGCAGAGGTGGAGTAGCCTCTGGGTGGAGCAGGACAGGTCACAGCAGCAGAGGTGGAGTAGCCTCTGGGTGGAGCAGGACGGGTCACAGCAGCAGAGGTGGAGTAGCCTCTGGGTGGAGCAGGACGGGTCACAGCAGCAGAGGTGGAGTAGCCTCTGGGTGGAGCAGGACGGGTCGCAGCAGCAGAGGTGGAGTAGCCTCTGGGTGGAGCAGGACAGGTCACAGAAGCAGAGGTGGAGTAGCCTCTGGGTGGAGCAGGACGAGTCACAGCAGCAGAGGTGGAGTAGCCTCTGGGTGGAGCAGGACAGGTCACAGCAGCAGAGGTGGAGTAGCCTCTGGGTGGAGCAGGACAGGTCACAGCAGCAGAGGTGGAGTAGCCTCTGGGTGGAGCAGGACGAGTCACAGCAGCAGAGGTGGAGTTGTTGCTTGGTTTGGACCATTTTCTCTGCTCTGGTCCAAAGTAAAATGCTAAATGCTTCATTAGCATTTTTCTAAAAGTTAGCATTCCTCCAGTGGATTTTCTCCTGATCCGTTTAGTTCGGACCATGAATCCTCTCTGCTCTGGTCTGGACCAGTGTAAAACCATGAATCCTCTCTGCTCTGGTCTGGACCAGTGTAAAACCATGAATCCTCTCTGCTCTGGTCTGGACCAGTGTAAAACCATGAATCCTCTCTGCTCTGGTCTGGACCAGTGTAAAACCATGAACACTAAACTGCAGCAACATCTTAGCCAGAAAAAAGCAAGAAAGATAAACAACTGTTTCAGAGCTGCTTAGACCTGCACCTGTTTTCCAACGCATTCAAAGTAAAGATGTGTTCATGTATGTGTTCCTGTGTGTGTTCATATGTGTGTTCATGTATGTGTTCCTGTGTGCGTTCATGTGTTCATATGTGTGTTCATGTATGTGTTCCTGTGTGTGTTCATGTGTGTGTTCATGTATGTGTTCCGGTGTGTGTTCATGTGTTCATATGTGTGTTCATGTATGTGTTCATGTGTGTGTTAATGTATGTGTTCATGTGTGTGTTCATGTATGTGTTTATGTGTGTGTTCATGTGTGTGTGTTGTGTTCCTGTGTGTGTTCATGTGTGTGTTCATGTGTTCATGTGTGTGTTCATGTATGTGATCTTGTGTGTGTTCATGTGTGTGTTCATGTATGTGTTCCTGTGTGTGTTCATGTGTTCATGTGTGTGTTCATGTATGTGTTCATATGTTCATATGTGTGTTCATGTGTTCATGTATGTGTTCATATGTGTGTTCATGTGTGTGTTCATGTGTGTGTTCATGTATGTGTTTATGTGTGTGTTCATGTGTGTGTTCATGTGTTCACATGTTTGTTTCTTGTGTTCATGCGTGTGTTCATGTCTGTGTTCATGTGTGTTTTCATGTGTGGTTTCATGTGTGTGTCCATGAGTGTGTTCATGTATGTGTCCATGTGTGTGTCCATGTGTTTGTTTATGTATGTGTTCATGTGTGTGTTCATGTGTGGTTTCATGTGTGTGTCCATGAGTGTGTTCATGTATGTGTCCATGTGTGTGTTCATGTATGTGTCCATGTGTGTGTCCATGTGTTTGTTTATGTTCATGTGTGTGATCATGTGTGTGTCCATGTGTGTGTTCATGTGTGTGTTAATGTGTTCATGTGTGTGTTCTTGTGTTCATGTGTGTGTTCATGTATGTGCCCATGTGTGTGTCCATGTGTGTGTTCGTGTGTTCATGTGTGTGTCCATGTGTGTGTTCATGTGTTCATTTGTGTGTTCATGTGTCCATGTGTGTGTCCAGGACAGCAGCCTGGACTCGGAGGAGCTGACTCTGGCTTTGAAGACTCTGTTGTTTGGATCCGAGCGAGAAACAAGGAACTCAGTGCTGCACCAGCCACAGAGGTCAGACAGCACCTCCTGCTGCCCCTCCAGTAGAACACCTCCTGTAGAGCACCTGCTGTAGAGCACCTCCTGTAGAACACCTCCTGTAGAGCACCTCCCATAGCACCTCCTGTAGAGCACCTCCAGTAGAGCACCTCCTGTAGAGCACCTGCTGTAGAGCACCTCCAGTAGAGCACCTCCTGTAGAGCACCTGCTGTAGAGCACCTCCTGTAGAGCACCTGCTGTAGAACACCTCCTGTAGAACACCTCCTGTAGCACCTCCTGTAGCACTTCCTGCAGCACCTCCTGTAGAACACCTCCTGTAGCACCTCCTGTAGAGCACCTGCTGTAGAGCACCTCCTGTAGCACACCTCCTGTAGCACCTCCTGTAGCACTTCCTGCAGCACCTCCTGTAGAACACCTCCTGTAGCACCTCCTGTAGCACCTCCTGCAGCACCTCCTGTAGAACACCTCCTGTAGCACCTCCTGCAGCACCTCCTGTAGAACACCTCCTGTAGCACCTCCTGTAGCACCTCCTGCAGCACCTCCTGTAGCACCTCCTGTAGAACACCTCCTGCAGCACCTCCTGTAGAACACCTCCTGTAGAACACCTCCTGTAGCACCTCCTGTAGCACCTCCTGCAGCACCTCCTGTAGAACACCTCCTGTAGAGCACCTCCTGTAGCACCTCCTGTAGCACCTCCTGTAGAACACCTCCTGTAGCACCTCCTGTAGAACACCTCCTCTAGCACCTCCTGTAGAACACCTCCTCTAGCACCTCCTGTAGCACCTCCTGTAGAACACCTCCTGTAGAACACCTCCTGTAGCACCTCCTGTAGAACACCTCCTGTAGAACACCTCCTGTAGAACACCTCCTCTAGCACCTCCTGTAGCACCTCCTGTAGAACACCTCCTGTAGCACCTCCTGTAGCACCTCCTGTAGAACACCTCCTGTAGCACCTCCTGTAGAACACCTCCTGTAGAACACCTCTTCTGGCACCTCCTGTAGCACCTCCTGTAGAACACCTCCTGTAGCACCTCCTGTAGCACCTCCTGTAGAACACCTCCTGTAGCACCTCCTGTAGCACCTCCTGTAGAACACCTCCTGTAGAACACCTCCTGTAGAACACCTCCTCTAGCACCTCCTGTAGAACACTTGCTTTTATTGGTTAATATAAATATATCATGATGTAAAGTAATGTAATATATACTATCGTAAATACTGTGTTCTGTTGGAGCAGGTTTGGCCGTAACTCCAGGGGCCCCCTGGTGTCTGAGGGGCCCATGGTGCCCCAGGAGGTGGCCCCGGGGCAGGTCTGGAGCTTAGCGGTGCCTCAAAGGTTTGGAAAGAAATGATTGAACTGAAAATAGAGACGAGAGACGGATGCTGAAGGAGTGAAGTCTACGATGAAGGAGTGGCTTACAAACGACGATTGAATCATCAATAATATTATCATGTTTTTACTATGTTTTTATTATGTTATTTTGTTATTATTGTGTTATTATTGTGTTATTAGACACTGATGCTAATACTGTATTAAAATGCTAATACTGTATTAAAATGCTAATACTGTATTAAAATGCTAATACTTTATTAAAATGCTAATACTGTATTAAAATGCTAATACTGTATTAAAATGCTAATACTGTATTAAAATGCTAATACTGTATTAAAATGCTAATACTGTATTAAAATGCTAATACTGTATTAAAATGCTAATACTTTATTAAAATGCTAATACTGTATTAAAATGCTAATACTGTATTAAAATGCTAATACTGTATTAAAATGCTAATACTTTATTAAAATGCTAATACTGTATTAAAATGCTAATACTGTATTAAAATGCTAATACTGTATTAAAATGCTAATACTGTATTAAAATGCTAATACTTTATTAAAATGCTAATACTTTATTAAAATGCTAATACTTTATTAAAATGCTAATACTTTATTAAAATGCTAATACAATTGTAGTCCGTGTTCATTTCATTTCAAAGCTCTGTTTTGGTCCAAAAAAAGGCTTTAAAAATATGTGCAAACTATTTATTACTGATGTGTTTGGACTTCAGTAATTCTGTTATCAAAGGTACTCTCCCAGTCTCAGTAATTCTGTTATCAAAGGTACTCTCCCAGTCTCAGTGCTTCTGTTATCAAAGGTACTCTCCCAGTCTCAGTAATTCTGTTATCAAAGGTACTCTCCCAGTCTCAGTGCTTCTGTTATCAAAGGTACTCTCTCAGTCTCAGTAATTCTGTTATCAAAGGTACTCTCCCAGTCTCAGTAATTCTGTTATCAAAGGTACTCTCCCAGTCTCAGTGATTCTGTTATCAAAGGTACTCTCCCAGTCTCAGTAATTCTGTTATCAAAGGTACTCTCCCAGTCTCAGTAATTCTGTTATCAAAGGTACTCTCCCAGTCTCAGTGATTCTGTTATCAAAGGTACTCTCCCAGTCTCAGTAATTCTGTTATCAAAGGTACTCTCCCAGTCTCAGTGCTTTTGTTATCAAAGGTACTCTCCCAGTCTCAGTGCTTCTGTTATCAAAGGTACTCTCCCAGCCTCAGTGCTTCTGTTATCAAAGGTACTCTCCCAGCCTCAGTGATTCTGTTATCAAAGGTACTCTCCCAGTCTCAGTGCTTATGTTATCAAAGGTACTCTCCCAGTCTCAGTGCTTCTGTTATCAAAGGTACTCTCCCAGCCTCAGTGCTTCTGTTATCAAAGGTACTCTCCCAGTCTCAGTGCTTCTGTTATCAAAGGTACTCTCCCAGTCTCAGTGCTTCTGTTATCAAAGGTACTCTCCCAGCCTCAGTGCTTCTGTTATCAAAGGTACTCTCCCAGTCTCAGTGCTTCTGTTATCAAAGGTACTCTCCCAGCCTCAGTGATTCTGTTATCAAAGGTACTCTCCCAGCCTCAGTGCTTCTGTTATCAAAGGTACTCTCCCAGCCTCAGTAATTCTGTTATCAAAGGTACTCTCCCAGCCTCAGTGCTTTTGTTATCAAAGGTACTCTCCCAGTCTCAGTGATTCTGTTATCAAAGGTACTCTCCCAGTCTCAGTAATTCTGTTATCAAAGGTACTCTCCCAGCCTCAGTGGTTCTGTTATCAAAGGTACTCTCCCAGTCTCAGTGCTTCTGTTATCAAAGGTACTCTCCCAGCCTCAGTGGTTCTGTTATCAAAGGTACTCTCCCAGCCTCAGTGCTTCTGTTATCAAAGGTACTCTCCCAGCCTCAGTGGTTCTGTTATCAAAGGTACTCTCCCAGCCTCAGTGCTTCTGTTATCAAAGGTACTCTCCCAGCCTCAGTGGTTCTGTTATCAAAGGTACTCTCCCAGCCTCAGTGCTTCTGTTATCAAAGGTACTCTCCCAGTCTCAGTGCTTCTGTTATCAAAGGTACTCTCCCAGTCTCAGTGCTTCTGTTATCAAAGGTACTCTCCCAGCCTCAGTGCTTCTGTTATCAAAGGTACTCTCCCAGTCTCAGTGCTTCTGTTATCAAAGGTACTCTCCCAGCCTCAGTGCTTCTGTTATCAAAGGTACTCTCCCAGTCTCAGTGCTTCTGTTATCAAAGGTACTCTCCCAGTCTCAGTGCTTCTGTTATCAAAGGTACTCTCCCAGCCTCAGTGCTTTTGTTATCAAAGGTACTCTCCCAGTCTCAGTAATTCTGTTATCAAAGGTACTCTCCCAGTCTCAGTAATTCTGTTATCAAAGGTACTCTCCCAGTCTCAGTGCTTCTGTTATCAAAGGTACTCTCTCAGTCTCAGTAATTCTGTTATCAAAGGTACTCTCCCAGTCTCAGTAATTCTGTTATCAAAGGTACTCTCCCAGTCTCAGTGATTCTGTTATCAAAGGTACTCTCCCAGTCTCAGTAATTCTGTTATCAAAGGTACTCTCCCAGTCTCAGTAATTCTGTTATCAAAGGTACTCTCCCAGTCTCAGTGATTCTGTTATCAAAGGTACTCTCCCAGTCTCAGTAATTCTGTTATCAAAGGTACTCTCCCAGTCTCAGTGCTTTTGTTATCAAAGGTACTCTCCCAGTCTCAGTGCTTCTGTTATCAAAGGTACTCTCCCAGCCTCAGTGCTTTTGTTATCAAAGGTACTCTCCCAGTCTCAGTGCTTCTGTTATCAAAGGTACTCTCCCAGCCTCAGTGATTCTGTTATCAAAGGTACTCTCCCAGTCTCAGTAATTCTGTTATCAAAGGTACTCTCCCAGCCTCAGTGCTTTTGTTATCAAAGGTACTCTCCCAGCCTCAGTAATTCTGTTATCAAAGGTACTCTCCCAGCCTCAGTGCTTTTGTTATCAAAGGTACTCTCCCAGTCTCAGTGATTCTGTTATCAAAGGTACTCTCCCAGTCTCAGTAATTCTGTTATCAAAGGTACTCTCCCAGCCTCAGTGGTTCTGTTATCAAAGGTACTCTCCCAGTCTCAGTGCTTCTGTTATCAAAGGTACTCTCCCAGCCTCAGTGGTTCTGTTATCAAAGGTACTCTCCCAGCCTCAGTGCTTCTGTTATCAAAGGTACTCTCCCAGCCTCAGTGGTTCTGTTATCAAAGGTACTCTCCCAGCCTCAGTGCTTCTGTTATCAAAGGTACTCTCCCAGCCTCAGTGGTTCTGTTATCAAAGGTACTCTCCCAGCCTCAGTGCTTCTGTTATCAAAGGTACTGTTATAGAATTATATACCCCATGAAGGAGAAAACTCAAAGGTCCTTTGTCTGATCAAAAGCGTAAGTTTATTGTTAACGCACGTGCGGAGAGCCAGCACATCCACTCAAAGGCAGCATGTCCCAGCTCTGGCGCCAGAGCCCCAAGTTTCCTGTATACAAGACACACACGAGAGACAGTCCCGCCCACAACAGATTGGAGGGGGCCACCGGTGAGGAGGCGCATGGGGAGCGTTTGGCGCCGTCTGGGAACGAGGTGCGAACAGACAGACAATGGTCTAAATGCAGGTCATACAGATGCAAGACACGGAAGACACAAGGGTGTGACAGACAGCAGGACGTAGAAGATGCACACATACAGACCGATAGATATGCAAGAGGCGAAAGGGAGGACAGTGATTTGCGCCATTGTCTGTAGGTGTCGGGGGGGGCCCGGCTCCTTCCTGGAACAGGGACATATGACATATGAATAGACACAGGCAGGGTTGCATGAATACTAGTCGCTTGCCATCACACTCCTTTCCCGTGATAATGTAAAAAACCCCAGTTTTACAGAGATCACATTCAGGTGTGTGAGTATTGACCTTGGCCCCTGAGTAAAAGAAGAGTTGTTGATGGGCAGGTTACGCCGCCGTCACCCAAGCCTCTTGTATTACGGGGGTGTGGTCAAAGCTCTTCGCTGTGATACCCTCCCCCTAAATTGTGGGCGGAACAAGTGGAAAAATAAAAACAAAGTAAACAAGAAAGAAAAACGTTAGACAAAGTCGTCGTCCGAATCGCTGATATAATCAGGATCGGAGTTCAGTGGGACCGCGGCCAGGTCCGCCTCGGGGTCTTTGTACTGAATGGACACAAAGTGAGTGGATATCATTTTACCAACGGCCCGAAACACCATGGGTAATACACATGAAAATAAAATCATAACGGTCAATAGGGCTAAACCAAGATTAATGAGCACACTTCGCCAGGAGGACAGGAGCCAGTCCAGACCGTGAGGAGTGTCCGTGACATTGTCCGCTTGCATGGCGTCCCGGAGTCTAGTCAGATTGGCTATGCCCTGTTGGATAAGACCTCCGTCCTCATCATTAGCCGGAATATATGTACAGCAGGACGACCCAATGATCGTGCATACGCCTCCCACAGACGCGGTCAGGTGGTCCAGGACCAGCCGGTCGAACAGTGCCGCCTTGCAGTCAGTGGCACCGCTCCCTATGAGCGTGTGTGGAGCGTTAGTGGTCATGGCGATGTTTGGTCTTGGAGCGGCAAGACTCTAATTGCGTTGAAGCCTTGGCCTCAGCACTCGGTTGGGCAGAGTGCTCGGGGTTTGGGGTGTGGGAGACCATGGCTTGAGCACGCTCCAGATCGGCCAGGCCCAAAGCTCGTTTGATGGGAGACCTCATGACAGCACGCTTCACCATGTGCCTCATCAGGAACTGTAGAGCAGCCCTCATCTCCACCTCCTCCGGACACACGGGAGACGAGACACCAGGGGGCACTCCAGCAGAGCTCAAATCTGCATTATGGCCAGAGGGAGCAAGCTCTGGAGAAATCTTTGGAATGGGCAGCAGCTCTGCATACTTGCTGCAGCTGAGCAGAGCGCTCAGGGCCTTCATGGCTCCCAAGCCTTGGGATCCGGGGGCTGGGGAGTTGGGCAGAAGGGGGGTCGCCTCGGGAACGCTGGGATTCTCTGGGTGTTGTTGTTGGCCTG